AAGATGAAAGTGGTATGAAATATTTTGGCTGATTCAGTCATTTACCGGCAAAGATTGAAGAAATTTGCAACTGGCGGGTATAAAGCCTTGATATTCTGCTTGCTTGAAGATGGAGAAAATACCAGTTATTACAGTGCGTAAACAACGTAAAACGATCGGTTTTAACATGTTGTTAGTCTCCCTCATTAATTGAAATGGCATTTCGGATTCGTTAGCGGTTTCACATTTGTGGCAAATTGCAATTTATAATGAAAAAAATAATTCCAATCAGTAACTGCATGTTCCATAGGTACTTAGCGTTCAGGAATCAATTAATTTTTTGTGAACTTGCATCTCTAATATGTCTTTAAATTGGTTGAGCTGCAAAAATCACTCGTATTCGTGACTTCAAGACGTTAATTCAACCATTTGTTGTGGCCAATTTTTTAATTTCTATTTCATGGGCGCCAGCCGCTGTAGACTGGTTAATTTCGAATTTTTCGCATTTTTTTCTAATGATTCCTTGTGGAGTTGGTTTTCTTGCAATTATTGAAGCGTCTATTATACAGGGTGGTCTTCAACTAATATGAGAAAGTTCACTGACTTTTTTAAACAAAAATTTTGCGTTTTAGGTCAATTTTGTTGTAGGTTTAAGTCGAAATTTCCAACTATTTTCTAGATATTTCACATTGATATATCTAGTAATTTTTCGAACTTGCTCATATGGGATCCCTAATATTTTGGGGTCAATTAAACCTAACCGAAACAAAATGTATTTTTTCCAGTAGGACAATCGCTTTTGAACAGGTTATTATGGAATAATAATTTTCAAAACTACTGAGTTTGAGAAGTAGTTGAAAGTAGTTGTTCACCTGCCTAAATAAACGCTGTTTAATGTGTGCTTAAGTTTCGTTTTCTTGCAAATCTAAACAGAATATTTATCCAATTAAGAGCTCCAAGAGATCCGTTACTGAGTTCTAAAAGTCAATAGCTGTTTCAAAGATAATCGACTGTAAGAGATATCGACTTGAACCGAGTACACATTTTTGTTTAGCAAATATATGGGAATGAGTTACTACTAAAAACGAAAAATTATTATGTTTTAAATGACTCCAGGCTATTGCAGCTAAGAATTACAGACTAGGAAATAGGAATATTGCATTTGCGATCTAAAAAACACCCAAACACATTTTTTTTGTTAATAGTAGAACTGGTAAAGAATCTATTTAAGAAACGAAAATTGCATTTTCCCTTATACCTTGGAAACTATTAAATTTCTGAGAAGACAATATTTTTACCGCAGTTTTTGTTAGTCAATGAGAGCATCCTTGTATAATTGTCTATTATGTTCATGACATTCGCAACTCCCTATTAATAAAGCATCAGTTCCGAAAAGAAAAACTGTCTTCTCATATCCGCAGGAATTTCTATGGAGCAGAAGACCACTTATAAAGAATATTAGATACGTCAAAGGTATCAGAGCTGTCGCGTGTAAGAAAAATGAGATATAGGAGGAAAGCCGGTATACTACGAAGTGGGTATAACTCTATTACAAAGACATCAAAGGGGGCGACAAACTTGATACGTTCCATGTTGAGAGAATCATTTATTATATTAGAGCTCGTCTATGTAATTAAATATTGTTAAAACGTGCCAGCACGATTGTAAAAACCGGCTACAAAGTTAGTTGATTGCTTGACGCTATTGATTATTCAAGCTGCATAAAGGTGAATATTTTACTGCAACGGATTTCTCAGCTCCATATCAATTCACCTTATGCTCTATAACGTTTTCAATTTAGTCCTGCTCTAATTTCGGCTTCGGCAGGGGGTTTGCAGTTTCAAGCCGAAATCTTTCACGGGCAGATTCGTACCTGCCGAGTTTATATGCAGAGTTCCGCAATAATTTTAATGGTCCCACCGGATTAGGCGTGAAGTTGTTTCGTAACTGGGATAAGGATTACACGAACGTTTAATTTTCTAAAACGATAGTGCCACCTGCTGAAACAAATACAGTTCTTTTGTTTCCGATTCCGGAATTTTCACTCGCTCTTTTTTGTTGTTCTGGCCGCTGTTTAGGCAGCTTGATCGATTCAAGCAACTACTAGTTTAACAATGAATATGAATTTCGATTCGACACCAACATTGGCCAGCTTTCGCAAGCAAAAGGTACATTTTCCATATTAATCGCGTCTTAAACCGAGCAAACAGACACTGTAGTAGTTAAATAAATACATAAAAGACAAATTTACCTTTAATGGAATGCATGTTGCCGAAATATTTTGGCAGCGTAATGAATGAGCAGAGGATAAGCGATTTTTGTAAATCACTTTTCAGTGATAACCATAATGAGGAAATGATGGACACCGCATATTAATAACACATTGACTGCATGGTTCCACATGGTCTAGTCGGGGAAAATAAGGCAATTTATTTGTTAAAATCGAAAGAGTTAGAAAACCGAAGCGAACATTCCTCTGAAGACATCAGCCACTTGCGCTTGCAAAACGACAGGGAGAAATTCACAACCTGTAGAAATATTTAAAGTGTTTGGACTGAAATTCTTAGTAACAATCATGAGGGGCTTGCACGCATAAAACCTTTGAATTTTTAGCTTCCCATCATTTTTTCCGAAGACGCTTCTTTGCGGAACCCGGCTGCTAAACTAACTTTTTGCGCTTTTTTCTTCTGGTGATTATTCGGGTAATAAATGACGTTAGGCCCGAATCCTTTTAGTCCTATAAATTCTAATACCAGTCTCTTCACCAAGGTGTCATAGAGGCGACGGACTCCTAAAAGACGATTCGTCTTGGTTACTCAGGTTATTTGTTATCAGAGTGCAGGCACGTTTTTGCTGAGTTTGTCTCGCGACAGCTCGACACAATAAACTCTCCGCTCATCCCTCAAAGATTAAGGCCAGGATCTAGGTGTTTCGAAAATCAAAGTCCCGCGAAACAAATAGTTTAATGCGTGAAGGTTTTCTCAAATTTTTCAACCGTTGAGCACCAAAATCCGGCATTCTTTTGCCGGATGTTTAAAAAAGATTGATGATGGGGCTGTGTTATAAAGGCCCACGTTTCGCGCTTCATTTGCTCAAATTAAACAATGCATTCGAGGAGCATTTCAGGAGACGGAAAATGCACTTTTCAAGTATGCCACTCATCACTTAAATGTCTTGCGAAGCAGGATGGATATTAAAATGATTTATTACGAAATGTATGACCCGACCCATCTGTGCAAAGGCATCTTTAAGAATTAGAAAGCCGCTAGAAGGCAGTTTACGAGCGGATTAAATTTTTCTGCCAACGACCACATACCGAAGAGATGAGATTGGAAAGAAACAATCATTCGCTCGACGAGGAGGAAAGTGAAAGGCCGACATAATCCTTTGACATTTCGGTTAATACACGTAAAATTGTAAATCCGTCAATGACGTCCTTGCGAAGAAAAAATCATTTAATCATCAGAACAATACCAGCAATGTTGGTACAAAGGAGTTTTTCAAATGGAGCCGCTATCCGGAAGTCTAAGTAATATTTCCAAAAAATTTGTTGGCCCAGCAAACAAGTAGCAAATATTTTTTTCTTCATAAAGCGTCATCTTTCAGCTTCCTCCTGGTTGGTGATGTCCCGGTTGAAATACTTAATTTCACAAATTAATTAATTAACGTTGTTTGTTTAGCTGTTTTATTTATTACACAAGCAAAAAATATGTCTGCTGGACCCTGGACCAATTTCCTCCAGTTGCATAGAATCGAACCGTTATATTTTCCTGTTTTCAACAGTAATCGCATTTACCATTAAAAGGGTTAACGAAATGAACCCCTTCATGCGTCCCAAAAACTCACATGGAGAACAAAAGCCATTGGACTCGATTCGCGTTCCTGTGTTGTAAAAGTCTGCTTTATAGGCTTGTTCTACATTGATTTTGAAATGAAATGAAAACTAGTTGAAAATGAAGAGTTCAAAAAATGTTGTTGGAAAAGTTGGAATTTTTTTTTAAGTTTCTGGGGAGGTGGATAAAAATGTAGAAAAATTGCGAAAATAAGTGGTTAACAGCTAAATCAAGAAATCCGCGATTTTTTTAAACCTACAAAACCATATAAAAAGGCAAAAATAATTGCGAAATTTATATATTATTTCAAGTATTTATTGGCCACTAAACCAAATTAGTTGACATCGAAGAATGTTGCGGAGAAAGCTGAAAATTGGAAATTTCAAATTTCTTGTTCCAAAAGCTGAGCTGCGTCCAGAAAAGTTCAAAATGAAGAAATTCTTTTTCATCACGGTCTCGAAATTTCAGGCCCTCCACTTTCGGTTAATGTCCGTATAATGTTTATGAAAATCTGACACTTCAAAGTAGTCACATTTTCATAAAAAAAAAGTTTTGTGGCATCCGCATGAAATAAATATTTCAATAAATTCACATCCTAATTAAATTCAATTCCAGAAATGGTCCGCAACAGATTTTTTATAAAATGGCAATTTTAAAACCTGGCATCAAGTTGCATCAGCAAAAGCCATCGAATTTTTGTCGAGTCTTCGTCGAAAAAATATAATCGGATGTAAAATACCGCAATGTCTGCACTTAAACTCCACAAGTTTTAAACCCACAAAAATGGGTTTAATTACAAATGAAAGCAGGTAAAAGTTAAATAAAATGAGTTTAAACTATTTTTTAAAATAAATTACCTTTTTTGGAAACTTGGAAAAATGTTAAATTATTTAAAAAATTAGTTCACTTTTGAAAAATCATCTTCTGTCACCAGCCTCTAAACATGATTTAAAGCCAATCCAAAAACCAGAAGGCGCATAAAATTAATTAAAAAAAAGTCAGTTAATTGGATTGTGGTTGTTTTGGTCTAAATCAGTCGTAACCGACCAAACCGAATAATTTACTGGAAAAAAATCGATTGTTTGCTGAAGGTGCGTGAGTGCAGGGAAGTTTGCCGGTTTTAACGTAGCCCAAAAAGAGCAGATGCGAAAACTACCAGCAGGAACGTCGATGAGGTTACGACAAACTCGTCTTCAGTTTCAGTTCGCCGTAGTGTGTGTAAGAGTACAGTTATTTCGATTTGATACCTAAATAACTCGTCGATCGTCGAACTCTCAAAGCAACCACTTATCGGAATGAGTGTCGTCAAATTTCAGTGAGTTTCTGAATGTTTTCGGCAGTTTTTTTCTCGAGTGCATCGATTTCGAGGATTACCGGCAACACTCACTAGCAGGACCTAACTTTGCCCAGTTATTGAATGTAAGTGTTGGTTAAATGTATCAAACAAACTGGTTTGATCTCACAAGACTCAAGGTAGCTTGAATGAATATCCGCAGGGAAAAACTGCTTTTTCCATTCAAACTGGTGCTGAGGCTCTTGATTTAAAGCAGGAAAATTAATTGATTGCAAATATGTGTGCAGGATTCATGGGGGTGTAACTGAGTGTTAAAATTTGCCAGCATTTGAACAAATTTTGAGAATCCCGTTCACTAGAAGGAAGCAGTAGCAGGAAGTAGTTATTGCTTAATTTGGTCATTGGGCGAATTGAAGCACTTGAGAATGGACGAACACGTTGAAACTTTAATAGCTCGTAAATGATGGCTAAAGTAAACTATGAGAACAAAAGTAACCGAGAGAGGGTTTTTAATCCTGAAATTTTTCAGTTCAAAATCCACTTTTGAATGAAAGAAAACATTCTTTGCCAAGGTCGAAAAGTACCTAGAGGCGCAAGTTTTTCAGCAAAATGCACCAACACATCTAAAAAAATGTATTTTGAACATATTGGAGTTTTGCAGTGCACATAATTGTTTAGTTAGTTTTACCTAATTAGAATTAATCGAAATATCTCTGAAGCAAATAAAAATTGCACTTGTACATATGCTTATTTTGCTTATTCTGGTTCGTCTTACACCTACCTCTAAAATATTCCGTTTCCTTCCTTCCAAAATTTCACTTCTGATTAATTAGCTCGGTAGCAAAGGTTCAAAAGGAAAAAATATATTTCCAGGCCCAGACATAATTTATGTAATAACAGTTAATGTAAAAAAAGTTGAGAATAATCCAATTCAACTCACCGGAAGAAGCAACTCATTTTCAAATCTCATTTAATTTCTAAGTCAACTTGCAGTCTTCTTTGGACAATTTCCATACCTAAACAAACTACCAAAATTTCTGCATCAACTTGACTCAAATCTGATAAATCTCACTGTAAACATTTGCTCGTTAATTGCCAAAATAAATCACTTTTTGACTGATTAACTTCATATTACGAAAAGCCACCGCAAGACGTGTTAAAATCATTCTGAAGATCAACAGATCAAAGTGAAGGCGCTCAACTTGCGGCTCCCGCAAGAAGCTTAATGGCGCTTTTTCCTTTATTTATGCCCATTCAAAATTGTAAAGAATGTTTGTTTGCCACTATTAGTGTCTAGAAAACAATGTTTATTATATTATAATTAACTGGCTGGTTTGTGGCTCCGTTTAAACACACACTGTTAATGATAGTTGCAAATCTAGTATTTTAACCGCGAGGTTTTTCCAAAAGTAATGTGTTTAACTCTTCATATGAGTATGCTAAATAACAAATTTCTCCAACATTTTCATAGGCAATTTCACCTGGATCTTTGCAAATAAACGTCGCTTTAACTTTCACAGTTTCGTTTACGTTACATGCGCTAAATATCCACGATTAAGCCCACTGTTTAACTGAAAAAAATCGATTACCACCATCAAAAGTCCAGCACATTTTCACATTTTGGGAACATGGCTATTTAACTATACGCAAGCTTGGGGAAATAAATAGAAAATCGTGTCTGCCATCGACCAACCAAACGTTAATTAAATGGCTCAAACACGAGTGTCGACAATCAAACTTGTGGCCTAAAATAAGTAAAACATCGAGGAATCATGTAGTTAATATATGCGTTTATTATTCAGAGCTTAAAGCCGACGATAATATTTTATTGCTGCCGTTTCTTGGCCATTGAATTTATGTGGCTTTTTCCATGTGAAATAAAGCAAGTAGAGGTAGATAACAATTTAATCAGGCAACTACTTGGCTTTATGTGGCATATGAATATGTTAATTAATTAAATGCTTAGAAGGAATGGCTGCAAAGGCATAAAATGGAGGTTAATGCGATAAGCAAAAATTATTAAAGAAAACGCATACAAAACATAAAAAGCGTTTCAAATGTTTCATCCACCAGTTGCAACTGCCAGAATCTTCAAATATGGCTTAATACAAGAATAGAAACCACCAAAATATTTATCATACAACTCTTATTCATATTTACAACCTGATTCTTTGCGCTTTATCCAGTAGAATTCGATGACTGTTATCTACTTTAACTGTTTCTTCCTTAACATCTGCCCTGCTTGATGCATAACTGTAAACTCTGCCACTGTAAATCATGCCATGAATATATTGCATATACTGTTTCATGGTTCATCTGAAAAACTATATTTTGTGTCTTTGAAATGAGACTGAAATTGCCGCGTTTTTCGGGCTTTCAGGTCGTCTTGAAAAATAGTTTCTGAAACGTCGAGAAAAAAATGTTCCACGAGGGCTTAAAAGCCCGAGAAACCCAACAGTTAGAAGCAATGGCGAAACTCTGTTTCCAAAAAATGTTTTTCACATGTGCAAGCCATTCGCATTTATTACACACATTTTCACACCGAATAACTAAAGCGAACATTTAAATAATGGGAAAAACGCCGATAAAAACGGAAAAAGAAAAACAAATAAATATTACTTTTATCGAGTATTTTGTTTATATTTGCGCAATAAATTTAGCATCCCCACATTGGACTGGGCTGAGTATTAACTTTAAAATAACAAATCGGTTGGCTTAATAAAATTAAAGCTTAATTGCTTTCAAATGCCTGGCAGCATAATTTCGGTGGAAAATCGCTGTTTAAAATTCGCACAGCCTTCAAAAGCAAACATTCATAGTGTGCCTGCAAAGAAATCAAAATGAAATATTTGCTGAAAATCATTAACAACATTGTTTATCATGCACAGAAATATGCGTTCATTATACCTAGATTATATAGACCAGAATGTGGGGAATTTGTTTTAATAACGTACATTTTGAATTGGGAATTTACTTTAAGTTGCGAAGTGAAATGTGCTTTCCACTGTTACTTTTCGAAAATAATTGTGGTGAAAATCCGGAATATTTCCTAAATTTTTGTATGTAATGTGCATTCCAAATGTATTCGAAGCCTATAAATAGAGAAGCCATAAACCTATGAATTATCATTAAAACTACCCCCTGCAAATGTACATCGAATTGATGCCGCTCACTTTGTGTGACCATTTATTGAATTTGGTCATTTTCCGTAATGATAAAACTGACCCAAAGCATTACCTAGCGCTTAATAGTCTTTTTGAGTTGCAAAAACGCCTTCATTAAAGCTTCCACTTTGACGCAAGTTTTAGTTGCGAGTTTCACCTTTTTATAGGTGGATTGATTTCAACTTTCAAATTCGCTCTACGCCTAATTTAACTCTTTCAATATTCCCTCTTGAATTCTAAATTTGAAAGCGAAGGCGTTTTGACACCGTAAATCTTCTTAAGACTAAACTTCTCAGGTGTTAAGTGAGTACTTCGGCAAACTTCGACTGGTGATAATAAAACCGTGCTCTATTACAAAAATATTTGGCAGCTATTAAATAGAAATCTTTGTCAGTTAGTCAATTGATTTTAATTGAAACCTTAATAGCGAAACAATGTACTTAAATTAAACGTTGTTAACAATTTTGAGTGCTTCTAACTTAACAAGTGCTGACAGGCTTTAGTAGCTATTTTCGGGCATTTATAATAAGTTTATTCTATTAGGCCGGAATTAATTGCAATAATGATCGATCAAATATTAAATGAACATTGCGGATGGAAATTGCCAGACAATAGTTGATTCGTGTTATCTAATTAGCCCTTTTCCTAGCTTGGTATAATTGCGAATTTGAGTGAAATAAATTTTAAATATCGCTTGCTTCCATGTGCCAAATTAATCATCAAAACGACAGCATTTATATTTTTCACTCATGAGTTTAACATTTAATAAATGAAGAGTTTTGGAAAATAACAAAATATTTTTTGTGTCGTTAATAGGGACAATTTTGCCAAAAATTGTCGTCCAATGAAGTGAAAACTGAAAACTAAAAAATTATTTTTCTATTGCTTATGTTTTTGAAATTCGAAATCAACAAGTCACAGGCAATTATTTTCAATATGCTCAAAACGATTCCATGCAAGTCGGGTTTTATCAGCGAAATGCAACAAGGTGCATAGTCCAAACTACATACTAGTTAGTTATTATTAATCATTGAAATAAATGGTTTTGCTGTTAAACTTTTTCCATTTCTTATCTCGGAGTTGTTCCACTCGCATTAGGTGGGCGGGAGGCAACATCGGATATGTTGTAATCAGAATGATGCCAGCAAATCATATGAAACTGATGATGGTCCAACAATCAATTTGTCCAGTAAACTACGCTAGTTAATTGGCTGAAAAATTATGCCTCAATTTTTAAAGCGAAAAAAAATTGGGTGGCACGCCTCATGTTCCCGGAACAATTTATATCTTATCAGGTTAATTGCTTTCAACTGTATTAAGAACGTATTCATAATATTCCATTTTAGTTCTAGTATATTCACATATTTCATGTGAAATCAACATGCAGCCGGAAGCATGCGGGATATCATTATCGCATAAAGAGAGTTAAATTAGGGCATTTCGCTTTTGAAATTTTTAATGGCCGCATATTCGATTTAGTGTATTTTATTCTATTTCTACCGAACATTGCTCGATACACATCTAATGGGGTGCATTAGTGATAAAATGGGTTTCAAATTGTAAATTTCCTCACAGATTCTTCACTTGATACCGGTAACTTTTGTATTTTGTTGCAACAATGGTAGTAAAATGAGTATATTCACAAAAATTCTCACTAAACTACCAATCTGGTTATACAATTGCAGTCAAATTTCGTGGAATTTTTATTGAAATTGCACAACTCGTTTTTTTTCTGCATAACTATTGGCTTGAAAATTAGCCCATTCCTGTACTTACGCGCTTTCTTTAAAAAATGCTTAGTTACTAATCAAGAGCAAGTAGACACTTACAAATTTCACAAGGTATAGCAGAGACTTAGGTGCAAAACTGCTCCAATTTTTACGGAAATCGCACGATATCCTGATTTTTTCTGTTGGGCCAAAGTGGTCTAAAAAAGTACGTTTACACATAAATGCGCGCTT